ATTGTTAGGGGGTTAGGTTTCCAGCCCCTGTGTAGCCACTTTGTGACCAGCAGACACACACACAGAGCTTGGAGCTGCCAGCGCAGGTCCTCAGCTCTCTGGGGACTTCCCAGCAGGGAGGAAGCTGGTGGCTTTGTGCCCAGCTTGCTATGGTGCAGAGTGTTGTGCTAGGTTGATTCCTACCCAAACTCCTCAAAAATGTATTCAGAGGTGTGGGGGAAGGAAACAGAGACATTTTTTTTTGCACCCACACCTTTTTCTGCAGTGCAGTTTTGATTCAGGCAAAAGAGAGCCCAGTTCCTGCAGTGGGATTTGCATGTGTGTTGTACACTGAGACAGCTGAAGCTGTGAGCAAAAAGCACGCATAAATAAAGGCTTCCTCCCTGTGCTTTATATAATCAGAGTGGGTGATGTCATTGGGAGCTGGAGAGGAGAGCAGGCTGTGAAATTACAGCCCTCTGCAGCCAGACAGAGCCAAGTGCAAGGGGGGGCTGCACAGAGCAAGAGCCAGGCTCCCCTCTGATACAGGCTCAGGACAGAGGACCTTGGAGGGGAGCTGGGGGTAGAAGTAGATAATCCTAATACAATCAGATAATCCAAATTCAGTCAGAAGCTCTTGCACAGGCACAAAGGGAAAGCAGGGAGAACAGCAGGTGCCCAGTGAGCATCACTGGGGCTGCCATTTCAAGGGCCAGCCCTCCCTTCTTCCATAGGCAGCCTTTTACAGATCCCTTATGGATCTGCTGGAAGGGCTGTGGGGCTGGTGGGCTTTTTCATCCTTCTTCTGCTTCAGTCTCCTGGCCCATTGCAGCTCCTGGCAGAGAAGAGAGGGCATCCTTGCCCTGCTTGCCTCCACATCCCAGAGGAACTTGCTTCCAGTCTCTTCCTGGCCCCACACAGGGAAGGAAGCACAAGCAGCACAGGGGCTCTGTCTTAGCCAGAGTGAAACAAGATAAAGGGTGACCCTCAGCTCTTCGGGACAGGGCTTGTGTTTGGCTCTGGGTTTCTGAAACCTCTCAGGTGTTTTACTCCTTTTTGGCCATTCTGATGCCCCCCAACATGGGAATCTCAAACAGGAGTTTTCCCTCTCAATCAGGCTGAGCAGGAAGAGGGGACCAGGCTCATCCCTTGGGAAAGTGGAGAGCCCCTTTCTTTCAAATCTTTCACAGACTTCTCTTTCAACACATCAAGCATCTACAATGTGCTCAGTATGCTGCTGTGAGAGCCTGATTTTTTCCCACTTTGGCAGGAGGAAGGGCTGCAGCTTTTCCCATCTCCCCTGCAGCTAGCATGCAAAAGCTTCAACCTCTGCTGAAACTGGAATTCTCCTTCTGTCATCCTCTGTCTTCCTCAGGATGAAGAGAGCAAGAGGCAGCAGCCCTTTGCACCAAGCCTGCCTTGTTTCTCTGTTATATAACAATATGGGCTTTTAGACTTGTTTTTCTAGATATTGGCAGATGCGTCAAATATTGGCATAATCCAGTGGTTTACATGGAAAGCCGTCTGGCTCTGTCTGGAGGCTGCACAATGCTGCTATTTTCATTGAAAACAAGAGCCTGCAGCATTGTCAAAGCCACATTGCAGCAGAGTCCAGGTAAACAAGGGGAAAAGGCACTCACATCATGGCCTGACCTGGGGAATTACAGCTGCCCTGGGGCAGCTCCAGGACTTGATAAAAAAGATTAATGGCTTTGCAATTGCTTTCTCTCTGAAATGGTCTTTTAGCTAAGTCTTCTGTGATGGTTTTCAAAGAATCACAAAGTGATTTCAGTTGGAAAAGACTTTCAAGACCATTGAGTTCAACCTTTGACCGATCACCATTTTGTCAGCTAGACCATAGCCCTCTGTGCAACATCTAGTTCAGTGAGCAGTGGCTCCATCTGCTCCCAGGGCTCTGGAGTTTTATTTCTGATGCACCCACCAGTCTGTCAGACCTGCAGTGTATGCCCTGCAGTTTAAGAACAAATCATGGTCCACTGGGGCTGTTGGCAGCTGAGGTCAGGGACTGTGATTGGGCTAGATTTTAAAAGTAAAAAAATAAGGAAGGTATTGGACGCTGCAGAGGGGTAACAGCTGGGGAAGTTGTTTAGTTGGGTCTCTCTGAAGGAAAGCAACGTGCTCACATGCCAGGACAGTTTGCAGGCTTGGTTGCTCCTTCCCCTCCCAGTGTGGCTCAGCTTGGAGTGCGAAATAGGGGGAAAATGCAGTGGCAGCACAGAAGTACCAGCTTTGGTCAGACCTGTTTGAAAGCTGCCTTAGCTCAGGCAGCAGCACCTGCCCCTGCAGTGTGCTTGCAGCCCGAGCTGTGCTGGGTGCTGTTGGAGCTTATCAGCTCCCACCACACTCGTGTCCCAGGCAGGTGGCCCCTCCTGATGGGGACTGTGCTGGCACAGCCATCACCCCTGCTCAGGCCACAGCCTTTGGCCAGCAGCCAGCAGAGCCAGGTGCAGGAGTGGCTTCTCTGTAATCGGTCTGCATGGGCCTGGGACAGGCAGTAACCTTCTTCACTCCACCATGGTCCTGGGGCACAGTGGGAAGGTTTTCAAGTGTCTGGGGTTTTATTACATGGCTGGACCTTTGCCTGTAGCTTTCAGGTGCATAACAGGGTTGATCTTGTTCAGTCTGCTCACAACCCAGCTTTTGACGTGGCACATCAGTGCCACCCTTGATCGCTGTCTCAGCAATCCAGCCAGTGCTTGCTCCTGCCTGAAGCTGATCTCTGGTTCCAGGAATTGCAGTTCCTGGTGCAGCCCCTTCCCAGTTCCTGGTAAAACAGTGCTGAGAATCAGCCCAAAGCTCAGGCTTGTAGATGTGTTATCCATTTCTCTCTGCATTCAAGAATGGACTGTGATGTCTTTGTGACTGGTTGGATGTTGATTCCCCAAACTTTTTTTCCTGTTACACAAATAATTTGATTTTCACCATGGGCTGGGAGCTGCCTCCAGGCCTGTGGTACCTGCCTGGAGCAGATGCTGTGTAGCAGTCTGCTGTTAGGTGGAGCCCCAGATCTGAGCTCCGCTTGGTCAGTGTTTTTAACTTGGGCTGATCTGTAGGTGAAGTGTGTGGCTGGAGCTGATGCTTGTGCTGTGAGGAGACACATGCTGCTCCATGCTGCAGCTTAGTGGCTGTGCTCTGACAGCTCTGACTCAGTGACTTGCCTGTGTGGTCATTCAGGAAGTCTGTGCCGTATCCAAAAATTGGTTTCAAACCCCAGAATGTCTTTGACCACAAGATCCTGCTTCTCTTCATTTCTGTGCAAGAAGTCAGTGTCCAGTGTCCCAGCTGTAGTGCCACTGTGAACCAGCAATACTTTTTCATTGCTTACCTTTCAGTCATCATGGGGCACAGGACAAACACCTGTAGTGGGTGCACACTCCTGACCAAGCTCTATGTTGAAAACTGGCTTTCAGGTAAAAAAAAAATCTCCCCATGTCAACCATATGAGTTTAATGACAGTGGGGTTTGCCCTAGAGCAACTTGAGAAGTAGGAGATGAGATTGATGTGATTACTGTTCTTTCAGTTTGATTTTTGGATTATTATTTCCCTTTCCCCACCCCTGTAGTTGTTAATGTTTAATGGAAAACATGCTTTCTTCAAGGCTCTTGCTGGTAATATGCAGCCCTGTGACTGTTATTGAAACAGAATGATGAACCCTTCGTAAAGAGATTTATGGTAGAAACTGTGAGGCGCTCGCTTCTACAGCACGGCCAGTGAACACTCCCCTGTGCTGACAGTTCATCAGCAAAACCCCTGACCCTTCCACCCTTAATCATCCTTGCTTGTCACTGACATAATTGCCTGATTACAGACTCCTCTCCCCCACCTCTTTCAAACTGGGTGCAATAGTGCATTTGAAAAACAAATGGAAATGAACTGTCCATGCTCTTTTTTTTCTTTCTTTTTTTTTTTTTTTTTCTTCCCCTGCATTGAGATGGATCAGGCTAAGATTCAGTTTCTTTGTGCATGAGCAGGGGCTGGGATAGGCTTTCAGGAGTCTTTTGCACTGGTGTTTCTTGCATGTGAATGGTAAAGCTGATGTCATTGTGTTATTGATTGGGATGACAACTTTGGACATAAATCATTAATGTCTGGGAAAGAGAGAGGGAGGGGAAAAAGGCAACACACACTCGATAGTTTTCCATAAATCTGCTGTTCATCCCTGCAGATGTGATCCAGAGGAGGAGACAGTGGGAACAGTTTTCCTCTGCAGCCTGAGGACGATGTGTGTTGTCACTGCTGCCTGAACCATTTACCCCAGAACATGTTGCCATGTTCTGCAGAAAATGGATCATATCACCAGCAGTGCTGTTGTGCTGGAGCCTGTCTTTGTAGCCAAGGTCAGAAGTCTGCCCGGGGGAAGGTCTTGGGTTCTCTCATTCCCACAGACCTTGCACCCCCAGCAGCATTTCAGACCTGGGCCCAGGAAGGAGTAAGAGTGCAGTTCTTGGGAACTGCTGTCCCTCTCGCTCCTTGAATTGCCAGGGATTGTTTCAGTGTTTTGAATTGACCATTTCTTCATTGATGATCTTAATTTCATGCAAAAAGAAGGTGTTCAGGTCAGTTCATAGCAAATGTCCCTGAGCTGGCAATGAACAAGCACACAGAGGGTAGCAGTCATTCAAAACTGCTTTCACAAAAGTTCTCAGCAAAACAGACAGCAAATAGCTCAGAGAGAGTGGAAATCCATGAGATACTTGTACCATTTTCTTCTGTGCCTTTGCCTCTGCACAAAGTTCATGCAGATGGGTCAGATTATCTGTTCAGACAGCAAGAAAATAAACAGTGTCTGTCAGAGGTTAGCAATAATGAAAGTATTGGTGAGCAGCTGATGTTTGAAGTGTAAATAGTTCAGTGGCAGTCTGTGCTAGTACCTGAGGGGAATCGTGTCATGCTTGGTAATAGGGAAGCCTGAAAACTGCCTTGTAGGGGGGCAGCAGTGAAAGCAGTGACATTCCCTTGCAGAGAGCATGGCTCTGACCCTCCTGTTCTCCCCTTGCAGCCGAGCTCACCTCCGCCTGTGTCTAGAACGCTTAAAAGTTCTGATACCGCTCGGACCAGACTGCACCCGGCACACCACGCTTGGGCTGCTCAACAAAGCCAAAGCACATATCAAGGTAAGAGCTGCCTTTCCCTGCTGCTTTCAGTGTGGGATCTTGGGAAGTGCAATGAAATTGTCACCCTTGCTGCCTAAAGCTAACTCCGTTGAAGGAAACGTGACACTGCTAATAAATAAATAAATAAATAAAAAGAGCAAGCAAGCCTTTCCCCCTTGATTAGCCATTTATCATTGCCACAAGCCACATTGTTGGAAGAGTCCATAATGAACTCCTTAAGTACGAAATGATGGATTGAAGAGCAAAGATTTTGTTCTGTATTGTGATCATTAGTTGACAGCTGTATCTCTTTAAAGAAAAACATACCTACTGCTGAGAGACTGCATTTTGATGGGAAATACAGCTTCTTTTCTGGTGTGCTACTGAGTTTCCACTGCTGAAGCATTAGCACAAACCACAGGAGTGCGAGACAGGTTTGGCTTGCTGGAGTTCCATGTGTGAACCTTCCAGCTAGCCTAGCTCTTCCAGCTCCACTTTTGGCAAAGAGAGATGTGAAAAGAAAATGCAGCATTGTCAGTATCTGGGAGAGGCTGAAATACTTCTTTGCAGGTCAGGATATAGAGAGGGAAGATTGGGTGATGAGGGAGGGCAAGTGCTGCCAAAGGGACAGAGTTAGCCTGGAATGACTCCTCCTTATGCAATGTGCTTGTCGTAGGAAACAAAGAACAGTGCCCTGGTAGATTTCCCAGCTGTGATCAAAGAAATCTGTAGTAGGTTATGTAAATCACTCACTGAATAGAAAACTGTTTCTGAGAAATCCTTCTAAACCATGCAGTAAGGAGCACAGAACTCCCGGGCCACATTTTTGTGTTGGAGCAGCTCGTAACAAACCCTGGAGTGGATTGGCTTGGGGGTGTGAGGCCCCTCCGTGGGCACAGGCGGTAATGCAGGTGTCTGATCCCGGGTGGAATGACCCACACACAGACTGCTGCAGTTCACAGCGTGTCCCCTGGAGAGGCCCAGTCCTCAGAGACTCTTTGTACTAATGGGTATGATTTATCAGGAGTTGAGAGGTGGAAAGATGTGAGGAGAAGGCATTGTGCTTGGAGACTGCAAGGCAGCTTGGTTCAGGGCACTTGAACTTGAATCCTTCTGGGACTGGGAAGGTCTAAGCAAGGCAGGTGGCAGGGCAGTGCAGGTGGGAGGGAAGAAGAAAAGGATAAAAGCAATTACTGAGTTATATTTGGTCATCTCAGAAACTTGAAGAGGCTGAGAGGAGAAGCCAACACCAGCTTGAGAACCTGGAACGAGAACAAAGATTCCTAAAGAGAAGACTGGAACAGCTACAGGGTCCTCAGGAGATAGAGCGAATACGAATGGACAGCATTGGATCTACCATTTCCTCGGATCACTCGGACTCGGAGCGAGGTGGGTGTTGCTGAGCCAGCACGGAATTGCCAGGACTCTGAAGTGAGAGAATGGGATTCATCCATTTCTTATCTCTCAGCTTCCCCTTCTCATGGCCCTTGGTGTTTAGGTTGCTGATTCTGCTCACACACAGGCACATACACACACATACATATGGAGAGTTCAGTATTTTGCATTAATTCTAAGTCTGGAAGAATTGTTGTTGCTGTCAACTTGATCTGATTTCCTTGGCATTGAAAGAGATGGTAAAGTTGAGATGCTCATTGTGATTTTCGTTCTGCTGCATCTCTTGGCAACAAGAGGAAAATGTAAGATATCAATAAAACTGGAACTAATGTTTCACACACCTACCCCCCAGCCCCCCTACCAAACTTCCCATTGAGCTCACCTCTTCAGTCAAAACTGGGTAGATATATCTGAATGGCTAACTGAATTATGATAACTTCCTTTTTAAATATATCCCTGCAGTGGACAGAACATTAGGCACAATAGATGGTTTGATATTTACTGACAGACCAGAAGATGTTGGATAGTTTGGGTATTAATCTGTAGTTTAAAACAAAAATCCTTTGGAAAATTCCTAAACAATATGGGAGCCAAGATACCTGGTTAATTAGATCTTTGTTTTTTAAGTCTTTCTTAAAAACAAGATGTCTGTTCCAAAATCCACTGAGCATGTGTGAGAGTAACCCAGATTCCCATGGTAATGCATTGTAATTGTGTCTGGTCCTGGCTTTGGCAATATAAAGTCAAGCAGCTAGCATGTTTAGGGTTGACTTCATGCTCCATTTTCTCTCTTGCACTCAATTTTATTGTTTTCTTCTTTTTTTCTAACACTGGGGTATTAGAGGTCCAAAGAAAGAGGTGGTGGGGCAAGCTCAGTGTATGGGGTGGCTCAAGTATGCTGACAGTGTGGCTGGTGTGTGGAGGAGTGAAATCCCTTTGCCAAATCCCTACAAAAACCTCCAAGCTGGTATTAGTCTTTTTATAAACAATGACCACAGCCCATCCCTTTCCAGGGAGAACCTGCTTCAATTCCCTGTGTTGAGGGAGTCCCAGGAGCTCACTGGCATTGGGGGGGCAGTTGGGTGTGGAGTGCTAACCTGTGTGCATTTCTCTCATTTCTCTTTCTAGAAGAGATTGAAGTGGACGTTGAAAGCACAGAGTTCTCCCATGGAGAAGTGGACAATATCAGCACAACCAGCATCAGTGACATTGATGATCACAGCAGCTTGCAGAGTATTGGGAGTGATGAGGGTTACTCCAGCGCCAGTGTCAAGCTCTCGTTTGCTTCCTAGAACCAAGTGAGACAACAGTGCAGGGTGAATGATTTCACTGGGATGATCAAACTGGGTCCTAGATGCCAGTATCCTCTTTCAGAATTGACATATTGACAGCTAGGCCTGGAGAGACCTGTATATAAAGCTTTTTGGGTAAAGGAAGCCTCCCCAGAAACCCATATTTGTTCATTTGGTCATGTTACCGATCCCAATTTCTGCTGGCAAAAAGTTAGGCCAAATACTAGTCCCTTTGCAGTCAATGAAATCCGTTTGTTTCTGTGGGACCTGGATCTAGACCTTAGTGATGAAACACTTTGTTTTGAATTTATTTGAAATTGTTTGAAAGAGGATACTAGAAACTCATCCCTCTCTTTCTGTCATGAGATCTGAGAAATGTCAAAATTTCTTACACCGCATTCAGATTGAACAACCTAATTTAGGCCCTTCTGAAGAGCTTTTGTGGTCCTGAAAGGACTGTATCCTACAGTTTACCACAATCTAATGCTGTCATAATGTACTAGGAAATCTAAGAAGGCTTACGTAGCCTAGGAATAACAGTGCCGATAATGATGAAGGTCTCATTCTGTGCCCAGAGGGAGAGGGGCAGCGATGTTCAGGGGAGAACACCATTCAACTCAGCTTTCTGTTGGACATCATTTGAACAGTGAGTACCTCAGAAGCGTGGCTAAGGCGAGAGGTACACACCTGTAACCTACCAGCACAGGGTGGGCTGTCAGGCCTGGGGCTGTGCCAGCGCCAGCAGGTCCCCGGTAGATGTGTGTCCCTCGCAGGCACACGGCCAGCTGAGGGCAGAACGAAACCAGCACTCGAGAGCTGACACACCAGACAGTCATGCCCAGATACTGAGCCACTATGACCTTTTTATTTGAAGTGATTTTTTGATAAACATTTGTAAATGTGTTGGGAGGGAAAACACCCCAAGTCTGATGCATCTTTTTAGAGCTTGTCCATATGAAACCTTAGATGTCTTTTATATGAATTTATGCCATGAAAAGATCTCTGTTTTGATGAAGCACTTGACCCAATGAAATGCAAAGATCCTTTTTTTGCCATGCACACAAAAATGAAGGTTGTGCTAAGCTGGAAGAGGCCAGGTTTGGTGGGGGTTTCTTCAGTTTTCTTTTTAGAATCATTCCCTTTGCTGACTTTTGAAGTTCCAGTCCAGTAGTTAACTTAGTTAAGCTCAGCACGTCTCTCATGTTAATGTAACGTTTTGACTGCACGTCCTGTTCCCAAGGGCCTTGCCACCTTATCTGTGCAGGTGCTGTTAAGAGCTGTTATAGCGAATGTTTTCTAATTTTCTCCAAGACGAGCATTCTAACCTGCACTTTGAGGGCTTTGCTTTTTTTATTTTTGTCTTTTTAATGGCCAGGATTATTTTGTTTTCCAAGTTTTAAAAACCTTAATAGAGTCTTCACCTATGGCATTGTTTGAAACTTTGTATATCCTTAAGTAATTTAATTACCCCTCATTACTAAGGAAAAAAGAGGAAAAAATGCTTTATAAAATTCATAACTTATTGCTGATTTGAATGGGTTGTTAATTTCAGTCCTTTAGATTTTATTTTATTGTTTTAGATAGGGTTGGGTAAAAAGAGGTAAAATAAAGTAAAAAAAAATAAAGACAACCATATTTAGCAGTGCAGTGGAATTGTGTTTAAATGTTAGCATATGGTCCCCATTAAAGTAGCACTTTAACGCCATTAAACATTTCTGTATCTGAAATGAGTTGTGTTCTTCCATCTTGGTCATTGCTGTCACTTCAGCCAGCTGCTGTTCTTGTGCCCTTCGGTCCTGCGGTGACATCCTGAGCGAGTCTCATGTAGACTTGTGCACTGTGATAAGTTGCCTGTGTTTAAATACTCTGATGTTTCCTCCACTCTCCAAAATGTGTCATTCCCTGTAAAAGGCACAACACACATGCTTGAGTAGAGAAATAATCTCTCCATGGCTGTAATGAATGATTTCTCTCCAGTCTGGGTTTTTTAAAATTAATTTGCTTACTAAGTTTGCATCTGGTTGCAGTTGTTAAACGTGTTTTCACTTGTGTGCATGTAATCCAGTGTCTCAGTCCATCTGTTCTTCTTTCTGGGAGGTTACCTGGCAGGGACAGGAGGCTGCCACAGAGTGAATTAAGCTCTAGGTTGCAAATGCAGCCCAAGGGCTTTGAAAGAAGAAATCCTGCTTGAATTTGCTTTTGGGGTCTATATGATATCTGGATGACACAAGGCTTGAAACAGTCTGTAGAGTGGTGAAAGATAGGAAACTTCAGCTCTAGCAAGGTCTTATTTATTTATTCATTATTATTCTCCTTGGAAGTGTTGACAACTGGCAGTGCTGGTGCTGAGCAGTTGGATACCAGTTGGATTTATTTATTTATGAGCCATTTTCCGTAGCTGTCACAGCACCTCCTCTTTCCTGTTATTCCTGTTTGTGTTAAATGTCCACTTGGGAAAGCAATACAACAGCTGAGAAGCACTGAAGTTCAAGGGATGGAGAATGGCCCTGCTCTCCTAGTTGGTATAAAACAGTGACATGTCTATTGTTGGAATAAATGCATTTGAAATGTTTGTTTGTAATGCTCCGGGGCAGTTTGGTATCTCCTACCTTTTCTAGTGTTGTGGTCTCAAAGGGTCCTGATCTCAAGTGCAAGTAAATGGGGAAAATGTCACAGGAGATGAACTTCCATCACCAGCCACCTGCCTGACTGCTCAGCCAGCAGCAGTGCTCCAGCCAGGGGGAGGTCAAGGAAGAAAACTAAAAGAAATCTAAAAACCTTTCTAATAGCTCCAAAGACCTGGGATTGGTTGCTCTGGTGCTGGTGGGTTCTTTGTAGCAGATCCTAGCAGATTTCAGCTAGAGTTTTGATAATTTCTTATGTGATGAAATATTTCTCTGGCCTTTCAAAGTTGTCCTGCCCTGGTTTATTTCTGCTTTGTGGACTCTGCATTTTCTCACCTCACACAGCTGCTATCCTCCTCAAATCTCCCTTCACTGTTCTGGTCTCTTGCATTGCAGTGTTCAAGATAACCAATTTTTAGAGATGTTGCTATAATTTTTCAAGACTATGGCGACTTTTCCTGTGAAAGCAGAACTGGATGCAGTTTCCTGAGGCAGCCTTCCCATGCAGCAGGCAGACATGCACACGCACGCACAGCTCCCTCATAAGCTCATTCTGTCAAGTCCTCCCTCTGTAAATTAGATCCCCAGTGGGTCTCTTTGCTACAGACAAACCCATTAAAAAGACCATCCAGCATTTTCCTTCTTTTGACACGAGTGTATTATGGAATGTCACCTCGTGTCTGCAGACAAGGTGGAGATGACTATCTGGCTGCATTTGTCACGGTTATCCTGTGGCGAGTTGTCACTTGAAGGTCATTTTAACGTCCGTTCCATTAGCAGCATGTCAGTGACGAAGGTGGTCTCACATCTGTCTGTCTCAAGAAATCTGTAGGTCAATAGAAAGGGGGTTAACTAGACAGACTTATCATTTTCTGGGGTTGGTGATTGTGTTTTCCTTTTGTCTGTTTGTTTGCTTGTTTGCTGCCATCTGTTTGTGAGCTCCGGCCTCCTGCTTTTCTGCTTTGTTCTCTTGTACTCACTGTTCCCTGTTTGTTGTGTTGCCCTGTTGGAATGGGTGAAACATTTGGCTTCAGAGGAAGTGGGATCCATTGGTGCCCTAACTGGAGATAGTTGTTCTCTTTCCTCCCCGCCCAGCATCATAAGCTTTTCCTGTGGCATTTTTTTCTGACACCAAACATGCATCATTGGAGGAAGAAATCAAGGTCGCTTCCTGCAAGAGAATGGTAAAAAACAGGGCTTCATTCTGAGGCTAGGGAGGTGATAACAATGAAAAGCTATATAAAAGCAGAATAAAGTCCTATTTTTTTTCCTGGAGCTTTCTCCCATGGACACATTGTCCAGTGAGTGAGAAATTCCATAACTGGATAGTGACTGAAACGCCTCTGCATCAGCAGTGTGATCTCTGAATTGTCCTGTGGGACCCTCGGGGAAGAGGAGTGTGTCCTTCTGCCCCTCTGTTCCCCAGTTTGCACAAAATACCTAGAGAACACTGATGTGCTGTCACATCTTTTTGAAATGTGCCAACACATCTGAGTGACATTTGGGAGGATGAATGCAGGAGAGTGGCACAGACAAAGTTTCCCTTTTACTGAAAGATGGGTTGTTTAACTGGGAATAATGCACCAGCACTGGCCTCTGCTTCTCTGCTCATTTCCTCCTGCCGAGAGGGCTGATCGTGTCGTTGTTAGGCAGAGGCAGGAGCAGGGAGTCTGTGGGTACTGGTGGTGTGGCTGTGGTGCTAAATACCTTTTATGGAGGGGTTCTGTTTGTGGAGTTGTCTCACAACATGCATGTGTTGAGATCCCTTCAAAAGTGTCAAGGATCAGGGATTGCTGAGCAGCCTCTGGGAAGGGTGGAAGTGTCCTCTGAGGTGTGGGCTCGTACAGAGCTGAACAGTTCAGTCACTGGTGCTGCTAGCCTGGCTGATGCAGGTCAGAGGTGTGAAATGTAATTTATTTGGGGAAAGATCTTCAACGTTAGCCATGCTGTAAAAGCTGTGGGTAGCAATTTATTTTTATCACACTGGGAAAAATCAGCGCCTTGGTTTGTAGAACCCCACTGAGGCCTGGAGCAAGTGGTGGGGTGAGCTGGGTAGTTTGGCCTTTAGCAAGTCATCCAACATCTTGGCTTGCAGACTGCTGTGCTGCAGACATGTGATGAAGCTTTATTTTAATACAGCAAGGATACAGCTTCAGCAAGGATTAATTTTGATCTTGAGGGATGTTGCAGCAAAGCAGAATAAGCCATGAAGGAATTTAAAGTATTTTATGGTGGTTTTAATATTGAGGTTTCTAGTTAAAATGTGCACAGGCCTAGGCCATGACTTGGGCTAACAGTGCTCTTGCTAATGTTCCATTCAGCTAAGGTTAGGAAATTCTTTCCATTTAATCCCCTTTCAGAAATATGTCTCAATTAATTGTTTTGGATCTCCTCCTGGAAGGCTTGATGGGGAAATACAAAAGCTCTTTCCTATCCCAGAGTGCTGGATAACTGTATGAAATAGTATCCATCACCCTAGGAAATCCCAGTTTCAGCAGGTCAGTCAGACAGGTAAGGTGTAAAATGCAGCTTGTTCATATCCCTCATGGATAATGTCTCTTTGGGAAGTAACAGCACCTTTCAGTCTAAGTGAGAGCAAGCCTTTTTCAATCAGCACCCCCTGTGAGAAGGCTTTGCACTTCTGTACAGACCAAGGAGTCGTTGTGGGATGAGTTCAGTGCAGAAAGTTCTTAGAGCCCAGATGAAGATTGGACAAATTACAATGCAAAGAGCAGCACCAGCTCCCCGGCAAGCAATCCTTCTCTTTGACCTGGCCCAGGAATGTTTTCAGCAGCCTCACTCTTCACAGAACTGTTGCAAAGAGAGTGGTTGTTCCCAAAACCATGCCACAGCTGCTGCAGGTGAGCAGAACCTCAAGGGGAAGCCCAGAAGTTTGCTGTAGGTTTTGCCTTCTAAAGATCTCCACTCTTGAATTGCAGTCCTCTCAGGTAAAGTCCCTTTTTGTATTTACAAACCTGTGAGACTGAGCAGCTACATAAATAAGTGACACAGCACTCACTGGCTTCAGGGAAGGCAAAGGAGAAATGGATTGCCATGACCATGAGAATTTCAGTTTGCTACTGTTGAGACTTCTAAATACTTAAACTGACTGGGGCAATCCTAGATCTGAGTCAGGTTTATACTGGTTTAATTTCCACAATGGGTTTCAGTTAGCACAGGACTGAGGCTGTGCTAGAGAAGAGGAAACATGCAGCCCATACTGGTCATTTTGCACAGTACCCTTATCTGACAGACAGAAATCTCTGACAAATATCTCTTCCATCTCCATAGCTTGGGGGGGTTTGCACTCTTTATTTTTACAGTAACTTTCCCTGTCATTTCAGTGTTTTTAAGGAGTCTCTGGCTACAGCAGGATTTGCTGGCACTGGGGTAGGTAATTTGTGTGCAAAGCCCAGAGCATGAGTTCCCAGGCTTCTTGCTGTCTAGACCAGTTATTAAAACTGGAAAATAAATTGTAAAAGAACCCAAACCAACCAAAACACCATCAGCCACATTTCAGGTCAACTCAGAATTTGTAATGTAAAAAACTCTTGTGTTTTGGCAATTACCAGCATTGCTTCACGCAAGATTTATTTTTATTACATTAATTTCTCAAGCCACTTTACTAAGGCTGTGTTCCAAAGCCAGATTACAATTAACTGGCCCATCCTGCAGATGAGGCAAGAGCATAAAAAATCTTGATGTGCTATAAGGAAAGGCTGTGTGGCCAACACAGCAGTTTTGGTTGGGCAGCTTTTTTTGTTTATAAAAGTTGTTCTCAAGATGTATTCTCTTCATAGATGGGACCACCCCAGGCACAGTGGTCTCATTGTTTCACTTCACCCAGGTAAGGTGTTTCAGGAAAAAGCCAATCAAAACTTTGTTTCAGCACTTCTTTGCAGTGCCCAACAGAAGAGTTGCACCAAAGTCCATGAGGCAGCCCCGTTACAAGAGGTGACAGTGGAAAGGTACAAGTTTTGCTAAATTTTTTTAAAGGTATAGCTAAAACAACTTGGGCTGAACTGTCCCTTGCAGGGGAGGCTCACAGCACCCATTGTGTTCTGATGACTCGCTCTATTGCTCTCCAGAGCTGGTGAACAAATAAATAGCCCTGGTATAGTCTATTTATTGTATTTATTACATTAAAGATGAGCAGATGTAGCTCATGTCAGATATGGATTAAGCCTTCTTTTCCAAAGACTGTTTTCTGTTAAAAGAACAGGTGGAGTTCAGAATAGGCTTCCTGAAAACTCCAGTTCTGCCTGCTTCAGCATGTGTCAGTTCTGACTTCAAGATGCTCCTTTTGGATCAGTGAAAGGGACACTGTATCACAGGCACCTGTGAAAGACAACAGGTGACCTTCCTCAGCACTGGGCTGTCAGGGTGGCACAACTGTCACCTAGTTAATGTCACTGCTGGGACATGTGCTTGTAGCTGCAGGCTGCACTACAACCTCCCTTCCTACAAAGCAGATTATTTTACTCTTGAGATGTTTTCTATGCAAAAGAAAATTTAACCCCTCTGCTACCACTGAAGATAAGGAATTAAGCAGCACCTACTTTATCTTGCAGTGAGTGTGTTGTACTTCAGAGCCACTTTTGAGTATGACATTCTGTCCCAGCAGATTCTGTACTCACCCCTGTCCTGATTTACCATTATCTTCCCCCCATGAATAATTCCACTTCAACCAATATATCCAGCAGATTTTAAACACTTTATTTAATAAAAGTTAAACATACAAAACTGAAATTAACACACTTTGTATTCATAAAAATCACCATCTCCCATTACAGGGAGAACCTTTTTCTATGTATGGATTCTAAACTACTGCTTGTAGAGTTTAGCTTGAGTTGTGACTCAGGTAACTGATGGACATTTCCACCAATCAGTGCATCAACAATTGCTGACGTGACCTGATCTAGTTAACAAATTACAAAATGAGCTACATTAACATAATATACAGGGAAATAATGGTCAGGGTTAATGGACAAGACACACGTTTTATTTAATGGGGGAAACAGCTGATGTACTCTTGTCCATTAACTCAGCCCTAGATTTTACAAAAATAATATCTACATTGTATACAGGGCTACCCATTAACTTCTTGAAACACATTACGGGTCCAGAGGTGGCGTCGCTACCGTAAGTGCGAGACAAGGAACAGAGGAAAGCAAATCACAGAGAGTACAAAAATGCAAGAGCTTTTACACGTGGGTTCCTGAAGAAAACTGAAGGGGCTCAGCAGCACTGCAATACAGCTGAAGGTACAATGGACACTAGGGCCAGTGAGTCCTGTAAGGACAGAAACTCCCAGCTAACCTTTACTCACTCACAGCTAACTAAGTGGCATCTGCTGTGCTGTGCTTCTCCGTGTCTGGATGGGGGCCCAGGCTGTCACTGCTGTCACTGCACCAACACACCCACAAGATCCACAAGGGACACATGACAGCTCCTTTCCACAGCACCAGCTCTGACCCCTGGGGATGGGTGGGGACTCCTAAGTACAATTCCTTGTCCTATGGTTTTCTGGTTACATTTCATTAACTTCCTATTATAATTTGATGAGTATTTATAAAACAAACAAAGAAAGAAAAACAACCAACAAGAAACAGCATCTCCTCTGCTGAAATTCAAGTGCAAGAAATTTGGACTGGAATTAAGTCAAATTTATTGTTTCTAGAATGTAAGTGATCATTAGTAATAAAGATCCTATCAGCCCTGTTCTGCCCTCATTTACAGCTGTACAAACTGATCCACAGTGGATTTGTAAGAGAGTTACTTAAACTTCCTTAGCAATTCCATGTGACATGTCAGCTCTCTCCCAGAGCTGCAGCAGCTCTGTAATGTTGAGCATGTCACAGACAGCACCGTGACTACAGAAACCAGGGAGGCTCTTAAGGTGCCATTTTTATACCACCACTTTTTTTGAAGGAAAAAAAAAACCTTCACTACTGGTATGAATGAAAGATTCAAAGCTGAAGACAAATACTGCTTTGAAAGTAACAGGCAACAGCAGTTCATGAATTCAGTAATGTTTACCTGCTACAAAAAGTTTAATGGTTGGGGATGTTCAAATCAAGAGCTGGAGATTTAAGGCTCAAATCAGCTGAAGCCAAAGTGATGGTGACAAAATGGACTACTCACTATGTGCCAACAAATAATTTACTTTTAGAAAAATATAATGATAAAAAGGTAAGTGTAAAGCCCTGCAGAGATGAAGTTCCACCTTTTCCACCAGTTACTGAGGCATCAGATGCCTGACATTATATTTAGAGGTATCTTGATACTGTGTCATAGGTTTGTCTGCAATTCCACATGTTCCTACGCCAACCTTGCCAGTTACGCTCTCAGGGGAAGCAAAAATACTCCTTTTCACCTGCAAATAAAACAGAAAACACCATGTCTGAATAATCACCAGCTGGATTTTACAAAAAAAAAAAAAACCAAACAAAACAAACAAGCAATCATTACCATCTGAAGTGCTTCAGCATTCTCAACTTCTGCCCTACAGATGGGGACACTTTAACAGCCAGCCCAGCTGTGATGTGTTGTCACTGAGTGAAGCAATGGGGCTGGGAACTTTTGGCACCTCAATACTGGATGTGATTGTGGTACTGAGGATCTCGGGTCAGGCCAAGAAGGAATAAAATCACCTCTCATAAGGGCACCTCTAATAATTGCTCAAAAGGAAGATTAAAGTTTTACCACTATGTCTGGCAGCTCTTGGGCAAGCCATGACAGAAATGGAAAAAGACTTAATGTCCTTGCTACCCTTTTTGCCCCCCACTTGGTGTTCCAGGGCACGTCCTCAGCACTGTGCCTCCTGGGTCACAAACACAGCAAGAAGCCAGACTTGGAGGTTCAGAGGGGCCCTCAGGTTCTTGGCTCCAACAAACACCAGCTAGCACCTGATGCAAGCCTCGTTCTGCCAGCCAAGAGAAAGCTCACCCTCTTAGGAGCAGCACTCCTCCAAAACAATCCAGTAAAAAACTCAAGCATTTGAAGTGCACAAAACACAAAAATGCACACTTCAGAATCCCAAAGACACCCAAATCCCCGTGATACATCCCTTTAAAAACCACCTCCTTTCTCCCAAGTTATTGCACAGAAGTCTATGCCCTGTTGCTACTCACATACTGACAAAAGTAAACAAACCTGGCCTTTTTTGTTTTTAGAATAGGCTCTGTTGTTAAACTGTTGCCACTTGACTTTCTGGTCCTCTCGTTCCTGTTCAAGTTCTTTAATTCTCTGAGCTTTTTTCAAAGCTTTCTTCTTTTTATACTCTCGTTGCTGGGCTATCATTTCTTTTCTGGAGAAAAGGAAAAACAACAAAAATCCCACATTTCATGTTTGTGCCTCTTCCTGTAACAAACTACAATCTGACTGTAAAACAGACATGCACATTAATTTTCCAGAAGTTTACAGAATTTACAGAAATAAAGCTTGTAAATATTCATCATTTCTAGGAGGTAAAAAAAAAATCCCAAAAACCTAAAATTCCAAACTTAATCTTTCCATTAATAAGCATTACCTTACTTATTGATGCATTTGGCATAACAACAAGCACCAAGCACACCTGAGGAGCCCATGCCAAACACAGCAACCCATGGGACTGGGTGCAGTTCATTTCTGGGGGAAATGGGACCTGTCAGCACTTCTACATTTCAGAAACATCTTGGGTTTGCAAAGTGTGAATAACCCATTGGAGTGAAAAGCCCCAACTTTTCTGGAGGTCTGCAGGACTCTGCTACCAATCATTGGACAGGGGTGGAAGGAAAAGGACAGAGATTACTTCAGTGAAGATAAGGAAGTTGAAGGAGTCAATCTATGCCTCCACAAATGCAGCATCCTCAGAACAATCTTTTAGGGAAGAGATCACTGGCTATAACAAACTCTGAAGAACTGTACCTTTTGTTTTTTCCAAAGTAAAAAAAAACAAAAAGTTTTCAGCCCTTACAAATACCTTCCTGTCTTAGACATAGCAGGATACTAAGTAAATGTAAATTTAAAACAAAAACAAACCAGAAAAACACCTATTTCATTAACCAGTTTTTATAGCTGAGGGAGGAAAAAGAAAAAACAACCAACCCAAAACCAACCCACAACTCAGCATTCAGACTTCCATCTGTGTATTACTCACTTGGACATGGGTTTGTTGCCACTGTCCTCTTTTGCTTTCCTTCCCTCTTCCACAGGCTTGAGGTTGAACAGAGGTGTGACTTCAGCATTGCCATATCCAGCAAATGTCACTGCAGCTGTTCCATTCTCCTCATCTATTTCTTCAATCTCAGCTTCGTAACACCTGTAAAGATATCATGGCTGTAAGCATGTGAGTAAAGCTTTAATACTCAGCCCTTCAACACCTACATCAGCCAGCTAATGCCACTAAGTGAAAAATATGCAGATCGCAGCCTTCATTTTCAGGGGTAATACACAAATCAAGGGATTATTGTCTTAAGGTCAAAGGGACACAGGTACAAAGACTGGAATCTGCTGCATTTGACCTTTAGCTTCAACAAGCAATGCCCTCACAGCTACCACAACTAATGATTCATGCTGGGGCCAATCTAATCAGCTATCCTGATTTGGTTTTAGTTCTGGCAGGTCATGGGATAGAAAAAAAAAAGCTGCATTCACAGAATTCATTGAGGAGTTTTAGAAAATGTCAGCTCAGAAGTGCAAAGTTTTCATTCCATTTTTCTCCATAAGACAAAGAACTAAGAAAAACTGAAGTTTTCAAAACATTCCCTCTTCAACACTTTAAAGCTTAAAAGCTTTCATGTTGATTTAAAACAGAAATTTTGAAATTTTCACAGTGACCTGTCCATTTCATATTTACGTGTATGAAACACTATGGTGTTTTATACACATAAATATGGGAAAAAAATTTAAAAATTTTTTTTTAAAAAGTGACATTTCCAAAAATATTTAAAATAACTGTGTCGAACTTAAGGGCAAAAGGATATATCTAGAGCAAACAGGAAAAAAAGGAAATGTTTCGTAGACAGTATTCCAATTAACATTTACTAAATTAGTTTCTTGTGTGTTTTCAGTGGGCCAACGCCTTGAGCTGCATTAGATGCAAACACACGAAAACCCAAAATTCTGGCTAGCTCTTAATG